ACTGGATCCCCACCTCTCACCTCTCACAAAAATCAATTCAAGATAGATAACAGACTTAAACCTAAGACATGAAACCTTAAGAATTCTAAAAGAAGATGTTGGGAAGACCCTTTCAGACATCGGCCTAGGCAAGGAATTCTTGAAGAAAGTGGTTTCTTGAGATGGAATCTACTTACGGTGAATATGCTATGAACACTGTTGAAATGAAAAGAAATAATTTAGAATATTACATAAATTAATTTGTTAACAGTGGCAAGATTTGAAAGCATTGACCTCAATTTTGAAAGAAATTCTATTGTGGGTAAAATGCTATCAGACAGCATTGCATGCTACAGAGAAAATTTCATGAGAGGAATCCTTTTTTAATTATGTGGCAAGCTTAATTGTCATCTTATTAATATTTTAAGAACTTGCCACAGCCACCTCAAACTTCAGCAACCACCACTCTGATCATTCAGCAGCCATCAACATCTAGGCAAGACCCTCCACCAGCAAGCTTACCACTCACTGAAGGCTCAGATGATCATTAATATATTTTAGCAATAAAGTATTTATTAATTAAGGTATATATATTATTTTTTAAACATAATGCTACTGCACATGTAGCATTAATCCCACTGTACCTGTAATAGACTACAGTGTAAACATAACTTTTTTATGCGCTGAGAAACCAAAAATATGTGTGTGACTCACTTGCAATGTTAGTTTTATTGTGGTGGTCTGGAACAGAACTCACAATATCTTCAAGATATGTCTGTATGTACCCAGTAGTGGGATTGCTGGATCACATGGTTATTCTGTTTTTAATTTTTTAAGGAACCCTCATACTATTTTCCATTATAGCTGCGCTAATTTACATTTTTGCCAGTGATGTGCAAGAGTTCCTTTATCTCCTCATCCTTGCCAACACTTGTTATCTTTCTTCTTTTTCACAATACCCATTCTAACAAGTGTTAGGTGATATCTCATTGTGGTTTTGATTTTCATTTTCTTGATGATGAGTGATGTTGAGCATGTTTTCATATACCTTTTGGCCATTTTTATGTCTTCTTTTGAGAAATTCTTATTCAAATCCTTAGCACATTTTTTTAATTGGGTTGTTTTCTTACTATTGAGTGGTTTGTGTTCTCTGTATATGTTGGAGATTAACCCCTTATCAGATGTATGGGTTGCACATATTTTCTATCATTTCCTAGGTTATCTATTTACTCTGCTGATTGTTTCCTTCTATGTGCAGAAGATCTTTAATTTGATATAATTCTACTTGCCCATTTTTGCTCTTGTCACCTGTGCTTTTGCGGTCATATTCAGAAAGTTTTTACACAGACCAATATAATGGAACTTTTCCCCTATGTTTTCTTCTGGTAATCATGCATGATTTTGTTAGTGGCATTATCTCTGCCATCTTTAACATAGAAAATAAACTTATCTGTAGCTGATGGATTAATAGTTTTGAATATCTGCAGGCATGATACTTTAATTTTAGAGTCATGGTAAGGTGAAAAATGATATGCGTGAGTCTGTGGAGTGTTTAGATTTCATTTTTGAGTAGCTGTGTCATCAACACTTGCATATTAAGAGCTACTGGCAATTCCTATGACTTCACTTGAGAAGGAAGAAAACCTGATTTCAGGGCCACATAC